GGTGAACAGCTAGTAAGTGGCCAGGCTGGGCTCAGAACCCTTACTCTGTGACTCATGCTTCTAAATTCTTGGGGAGTTTAGTGATCAAACTCCTCTGGAAGTGGAGGCAAGGCTGCCTGCAGCAGGTGTGTTTTCTAAGCAGGACTCCAGTGTACGACATCTCTGACTAATGCGTTCATGTTCTATTAATAACTACCTTGGCCGTCTGCCCTGGACCTTGTGATAATCGCCCTTTCTCACTCCCCAAGGAGTGAATGATTTGTACTTGTTCTCGGTGCTCAGCACCTTTCATCCTTCTCTTCCTGGACCAGCCGCTCCTGGAGGCCTCACCCAGCCCCCTCTGAGGTCTGGCAGCACCACTCCCCTCTGAGGGTGCAGGACTGACTTTCTGCAAGTGTGTGGGACGTCTGTCTGCCTGCAGACCGTGTAGGGCCATGGCCAGGATCCTTTGCCCCAGCTTCAGGCCTGGCTGTATGGTGTGAGAATTGTTCCAGATCTTGTGTTCAGATCCCAGTGCCCTGCAACTTGCACAGGCCACAGAGGAGGGCCAGCCACTGTAGGGCTGTGAAAGACACAGCAGTTCAGGGTCACAGTAGGCCAGGTAGGAAACAAGCTCTGAGCCAAAGTACTCAGGTGTGGTAGTTAAGGAGGGCTTCCTGGAGTTGGCAGCATCTCAGCAGCAGGCAGAGGCTAAGGATGAGGCATACAGGTGAATCTCCCTTCCAGCTGAGTGACATGCAGTTGCCTTCCCTTGACGGTCTTCCAAAGAGGGGAGGCACATGCTTCCCCTTGACTGCTTCTCCCCTCTGCAAACCTGCAGCGCTTGTGCTGATCCTGCATTTGTCTAAAAACACCTTGAATAACAGGGGAAACATCTAAAATTCTGCTATGCAAGAAGAACCATCTATAATGTGAAATGACTTCCATTCTGGACTCTTTACAGCCCACTATGAAAGTGTGGGGGGTGGGGGGTTGCTGCTGGTTTCACTTTTTTCCTAAGAAAGAAATCATCTTTGCCTTCAGTACAAGTTTTCCCATAGAGTGAGATGCGCCCCCATCATTCTGTTCATGGAAATGTGTCATCGGTGCATATATCAAGTAGTCCTATTTCAAGAAGCTAAGAAAAAGAATCCTTCTACCCAGAATTGCTGAAATTAGCAAGGTGGAAAGAGGAGTTGAAACCTGTGTTCTCAAGGAATATGAAAAGCAGGTAGATTTCTTGGCCACTAAAGAATAACGCCTCCATGAAAGTAGGGACGCAATTTGTGTTATGAACTGTTATTTCCCCAGTGTCCAGCAAGTGTCAGCAATATAACAATAGGACCCAGAGAGATGACTCCGTGCTGAAGAGCGTTTGCAGAAGACCTGGGTTTAGTTCTCAGCACCCAGGGGATCAAATACCTTCTTCAGGCCTCCAGGGGTACCCGTACTCAAATGCACATACCCACACATAATTAAAATTTTTTTAATTTTAAATATGGTAACAACATAAACATTTGTTCTGTGTGTAAATTATTATTTATGTCTTTTAACAGACCTGATTGTAAACACTTTATTGTTATAAAATCTTAAGGAGTCACTGAGCATTGGTGTCACACACCTTTAATCCCAGCACTCAGGAGCAAAGGCAGGTGGATTTCTGAGTTCAAGGCCCGACTGGTCTACAGAGCAAGTTCCAGGACAGCCAGGCCTACACTGAAAAAACCTGTCTTGCAAAACAAAACAGAAAAATTCTTAAGGAATCAACTTTGAATTTCTTGTTACAAATGATATATGTAGATATCCAGTTCTACAGTTCAGACAGATTCCATTTTCATCCTGTTGTACAAAAATAGTTGATCAACATAAGAATAATATATAATGCACACTCCTTATTAATATGTTAATATATTCCTATAACTATTTTAACAAATGTGTGGTTGTCCAAAATTTGTTAGACAATATTTCAAGCACTTCGCTTACCACATTTGGGTGTTTTGGTTTGGTTTAGTGCTAGACAGGGTCTCACTTGGTATCCCTGGCTGGCCTAGAACTCACTATGTAGACTTCAAACTCACAGATCCCCGTGTGTGCCTTTTGATATTTGTTGGTTTATTTTCTTTGTTTTGAGACAATAAGTTGCCCGCACTGGCCTGGACTCATCATGAAACAGAGGCTAGCCCGAAACCCCCATTCTTCTGCCTCGGCCACCGAAGCGCAGAGATGACTCCTGCGTGTGTCTTCTGAATGTGTTGTTTACAAAAGCAGCTCACAGAAACTAGTGTGCTTTCCTTCTGTGGGTCAAGAACAGAGTATGGTAAAGTACCACGGTCATGGGGTGGGTGTTCCTTTTTAAGAGGAGGCCATTCTAAGCCTTGTGCTTCCGGGGTCACTCAGGTTCTTGCTGTGTTACTCAGTCTCTTGGAGCAAGGCCACCTAGAGTCTCTTAAAAAGCATTCAGAGTAACACAGAGCCTTTCCCACAGAAGCAGCTCACTAATTCTCGGGTTGGTTTTCTGCCCCCAGCTATCATGCTGTGATTCTTGCTAGTTTTCCCACAGTTCACCTGTCAGTTTAATTTTCTGAATCGGTCTACGTGCTTAGGCAACTTCCTCTTACTCGCATGCAGAGAAGTGAAGTGGTTGTATTTGAACTGAGTTTGTGCTTTAGACGACTTGAGCAGCATGCCCTGGTCTCTGCTGGCTGGTTTCCTCATGAGCACCCAGTGTGTCGTCTGGGACCAAAAGGATGTCTACTGGAATGGATGAAGTGTCAGAATGCTCCCAGGGGACTCTGAGTCACAAGCACTGTGTGTGGCGGGGGGGGGGCAGTCTAATGTTCTGTTAGCCCTTTCCACCTCTCCAGACCCTTCCCCTGTCTAGGACTTCCCTGAGAAGCTGAGGGAGAAAGGAGCAGCCACATCACCAGTCCCACAGGAGAGAATAGGCTGTCAGGGGTTTGGGGGGGTGGCTGATACCTCTGTGTCTTACTTCACCAGCCTTTGATCTTGCTCCTAGGCCACTTGGGCTGTTGTAACTGTAAGTTTTTATTTATAGCTTAGTGCTGGGCTCCTGCCCCACCAAAAAAACCTCACAGGAAGAGCACCTTCTGGTAATTTAGCTAGAGCGAGGTATTAACCAGAAGGTGATTATTATTTGGTTTTAATTTCCTGCCCTTAAAAGAGAAATTGGGGAGGAGTGAAATGGCTTGGTGGATAAAAGCTCTTGCCTCCAAGCCTGACAGCTTGCACAGCCTGGAGTCCCATCCCTGAGACGTCCGTGATAGAAGGAGAGAACCCACAGGTTGTCCTCTGACCTCTGTGTGCACACATGTGTGTGTGTGGGGGGGGTAGATTCGTCCCACCCCATCCCCACATACATATTCATACACACAAAAAAATAAATAAATGGAATAAAATTTTTAAAAAGGATGTGAGCTATGCCTGGTGGCATGAGCCCATAATTCCAGTTCCTTTGGAGGCTGAGGCAGGAGAATCACAAGTTCAAGGCCAGCCTAGGCAAGTTAGTGAGACCCTCTCCCCAAAAGTCAGATGAGCGCCAGGGACATAGGTCAGTGGTCGAACACTTGCCTGTCGTTTAGGTGGTTCAGTCTCCAGTATGGGAGAGATGGGGAAATCGATGTGCTGGTGGGAGAGTGTCCCCGTCCTGTGCACCTCCCCTTGGAGTCGGAACCTGTGCTGGTGGGAGAGTGTCCCTGTCCTGTGCACCTCCCCTTGGAGTCGGAACCTGTGCTGGTGGGAGAGTGTCCCCGTCCTGTGCACCTCCCCTCGGTCCCGTCCGAGAGACAGTGTGGCGGCGGCTGCGTTCCCACCCCACTCTTCCGTTTTCCACCATGGCAAATGACCCAGCCCGTGTAAACCCATGTCCCCCGGAAGAATGGGCACTGCAGTAGCATCTCCTGGTAGATCTCTGTGAGGGCTTGAAGGCTTGTTTGCCCACTTCTGGCACAGAGTACAGAACAGGCCTGCTTCCATGTTGTTCACTCAGGGTCAGCTTTTGGGTCCCAGACTCCATTTAGACATCCTGTTCCACGTGTGTGCGCACACAAACACTTCTCTTTCCTTGTCTCAGAATTTTGTCCTCATTTGAACTCCTGGTTGTCACAGATCTCCGTGTGATAGATTGGCCCAGGAATTAGCTGTGCATTTGGTTACTCAGTGAGTCAGTTTCACGTGAATGATTGACAGTTTACCAGGCAAATTCAATCCACGTTTCAGCTTACCCTTCTGGTTTTGTTCCTTTTCCCTCTGCCTCAGCACCCATGCCCTCGCATCTGAGCTTAGACTTGCAGGATAAATACCATTCAAATAAGGCTTTTTTAGGATCCACTGTCTTGTGCCCCATTTGAATCCCTTTGAAGAATATCCCTGCCTTTGCTTCTTAATACTTTGTCCTAAGATGACTAATATACAACCACAGGGTGTTGAATGTTCTATATATAAAATTTCATCTCAAGCTGAACATGATGGCATGAGCTTATAATCCCAGCACTGGGACGTAGAGGCAGGAGTTCAAAGTCATCTTCAACCACATAGGGAGTTTGCAGCCAGCCTCGAGTACATGAGAACCTGTCTCAAAAAACCACATCAGCTCCTTACCCCACCCCCACCACAATGCCAAAAACCAAAGCAGAGACTGGGAACACTTTTTAAGGGAGGAGGGGAGTGGGGCCGTGCAGGCTATTGGAAACCATTTCATGGGACAGTACAGATTGTGTTTTCGGAAGCCATAGACAGAACTCACCCATGCTCCCAGCTCCTCCTGTCTCCTCACAAGAGCAGTCAGAGAGAAACTCTGTGCACCTGATCTTCATTTGAAGGATGTGGGGTGGGTGGTGGTCCCTGCTGTCTGGCACATGGGTGAGAGTCCCTGAACTGAGGAGGGAAAGGGTTCCGCAGCCACAGGCCTACAAGCGGCTTACTCCATGGGAGTCACTGGCAAGGCTAGGGAGAATGCTGGCAGTGGGTTGTTGAGTCTGAAGGGCAGTTAGGTTACAGCCTGGCTGGCTTTGGGATGCAGTATCAGAAAAAGCTCAACTACATTCAGCCGCACACACAAAAGACATTTTTACATTAATATCGTCAGGGCAGGAGGGGGGAGGATATTTACACACACGTGCCCATGCACGCACACACGCACACACAAGTGCTGTTATGCCGGTGAACGAACAGAGGAATCAGCAATCACCCGTTCTGTTTATTGCTGCTGCTGACCACTTAGCAGTTAAATACTGGGACAGGAAATGTGGTGAAGGGGCTTGAGGGTCCACTCAAGCACTAGAGAGGACTTGCGGTGTCTTCCGATCGGCCCTGCGTTTCAGAGAAGCGGTTGGAGCCATCTTCTTTTCATTTGAACTAAAATTCTGGTTTGTCAGCATGGTGTGCTGCCCTTGTGCTCCTGGTGTGGCATGTGCCTGGGAGATACTGCGCCTCTGCAAGCAGAAACCAGGGTTAATGCCTGGGTGTCGCCCACTTGTGAGAAGGCGGGTTCCCAGGCTTCAGGGTGGAGTCTCCCACCTACCTCAGCACCACCCTCTCTGGGCACTCGAGAGGAATCACCTGGGAAGAAATGGGTTGTCCCCACACCTCCCTGTGACCTGGAGTCAGCCGAGGGAACGGCCCTGGAACATAGCCTAGAGAAGTAGCAGACTGGCGTGCTGGGCTGCCCGACTGCTGGCGGCCTGGGGGACATGCTGTGAGCTTTGCCACTTGACTAGCAGCATTGCTACTCACCCTGTGTCTCAGAGGAGGAAGGAAAGATACCATCTAGTCTTCCCTGGACAGAGGCACTCGGATTTCTTCATACGTGCAGCGAGGAGGCGTGGGAGAGCTGCAGACTGAGAACAGGGAGGCAGGGTGAGGAGCAGCGGCAGCGGCCAGTTTTGAAATTTGGAGGTGGTAAAAGCACTAAGGTCTGGTGGCCAGTTGGTGGCACAGGAGGAGGAGAGAATGGAAAAGGATGACTCAGATGTCTCTTGTTCAGCAACTGAGTGGATGCGGTACTGCAGAGAGGGAAGGGTAGAGGAGGAACAGGAGGCCGCCCCCTTGGGAAACCAGGTGTTCCCAGAGTCAAGGATCGGGCAGCCATGAGAAAACCTGACTGGTAGAAGAGCGTGGCTCTGTGTGGGCTTAGGAGCCCTGTGATGGCAAGAGAGGAAGCAGAGCCAGGCAGAGCCCTGGGAGCTTGGGCCATCCACCTGGCCTGCAGGGCCACGTTCAGTCCAAAGAGAGACCCTGACTTAGACGACAGGGGTGGAAGAGCTTGAGAACTGATATCCAAGGTTGTTCTCTGACCGCCACACACATGCTGCGC